GGTTAGGTTTTATATAAAATAAGTACCGGATTAAATTAATTAAAGGATTAAAATTATATATATATCTTTTAAACTATTTAATTCTCTAAAGGCTTTATTTATATATTAATATTTATAGGCCTATAACCGTACCTTAAATTAATATAATATATTATTTTATAAATAAACTATACTTAATTATTTATATATATTATTAATATATTTTTATTTAATTTTATATTTATTATATATTATGATATATTATAATATATTATTAAATATTATTTATATATTTTTTATATTAAAATATATTCTATATTCTTTTATATAGTTCGTACAAATAATTCTAATAATATTTTTATTTTTTATTTTAATAAAAAATTTTTTATCAGATCGTACAATATACCATTTTATTATTTAACTTTACGTTACTATTTATATATATTACTAATATACTTATATTTAACTTTATATTTACTATTTATAATTTTATACCGCTCGTACAATAATATACCTTATACTATTCTATATAACTTATATAAGTAATTCCAATAATATCTTTATTTTTTACTTTAATAAAAAAAATTCTATCGGATTATATAACTAACTTACTATTTTACTACCTAACTTAACTACACTTTCTACGCATATTACTAACCTACGTATACCTAACTTCACACCTAACTTCACATCTATTATTTATAATTCTACGCCACTCGTACGATAGTACACCCTATATTATTCTATACAACTCGTTTAAACGATTTTAATAATATTTTTTTTTTATTTTAGTAAGGAAAATCTTATCGGATCATATAACTAAGTTCTTAACGGATTATACTTACTTTACTATTTACGTATATTACTAACATACTTATACCTAACTTTATATTTACTATTTACTATTTTATACTATTCGTACAATAATATATTCTATATTATTCTATACAGTTCGTTTAAATAATTTTAATAATATACTTTTTTTTATCTTAATAAAGAAAATCTTATCGGATCGTACAACTAAATTCTTAACGGATCGTACTTACCCTACCATTTACGTACATTACTAATATACTTATACCTAACTTTACATTTACTATTTACCATTCTATACCGCTCGTACAATAATATATCCTATATTATTCTATACAGCTCGTTTAGGCGATTCTAATAATATCTTTCTTTTTTATTTTGGTAAGAAAGATCTTATCGGATCGTACAACTGAATTCTTAACGGATCCTACCCCCTATTTCCAAAGTGGGGCGTTTTTTTTGGTGCGTTTCTTAACGGATTGTACTACAATCCATCGGAGAATAACTGATATGATAGATATTCTATAGATACCTTAGCCAATTCTACGACTTGTCATGGTATAATGAATCATGGATTGGAGCATAAATCCATAGTATTCGCGCAAAGCTTTCTTTTCATGACAGCATTGCGCAACCGTTGATAATATCCCATGTGCTTATCCATATCTAACTTTGAGCAAGTACAGTGCCCCTTACTTCTCATTGACATCCTTCCCCACTACCACATTCCCGACAGCATCAACCTCAACGTCACGCTTCCTCTCAATGTCACCGAATATTTCGTCAATCTCCTCAAGTGACTTTCCTCTTGTTTCCGGATAGGCAAGCCAAAAGACAACCGCACAAAGAGCATTGGTGAGGATAAACAGGATCTGTAGCGAGTGTCAGGCAATAGATCGGTTATATGAAGTTATGGCGTTGACACTTACATAATATTTCCAACCCACCCTCTCAAGCGCGATAGGCGAACACTGGGTGATGATCAAGCTGATAGAGTAGTGCAGGACCTGGACGACGGCGTTTGCTTTGGCACGGAGCTCCGTGGTGAAAACTTCGGGCCTGCAAGCTCTGTCAGCTGTCTGAGCCTTCTCAGTCACAGATCTCGAAAGAAAAAACTTACGGAATGATCCAAGTCATGGGGCCCAATAACGCCGAGTAGTTGGCTGAAACCATGAAGATGCAGGCAATCAGGCCCTTCTGGGCTGCCGCGTTGGTCGGGAAACCAGGTCTCGCAGGGTACAAGGCGGCAAGAATCGTGATGATCATGTAGGACACCGACAGAAAGGCCGAGCTGCTAACCAAGATCTTCTTCCTGCCAACGCGGTCGACGAAGAAAAGCGAAAGAATGCACGCAACAGGGGCAACACAGCCGTACAAACCGCTCACCAGCAGCTGTTGGTCCTGGTCGAACTGCAGCGTCGCATAGATGGCGGTCTGGTAATACTGGACAAAGCTGATACCAGACAGCATGGCAGCAGCCCAGACGAAGCACCCGACGAAAAGACGTTTCCGGAAAGAAGGGGTGCGAACGAGATCGACCCAACCGAGGTGGTGTTGCGTGTCGACCTCCTCAGCAATACTGGTCTGGATAAGGACGAACTCGGTCCGGCACCATTCATCGTTTGTTCCGTCGTGATGCCACCGGTTGAACGTCTCCTCGGCATCTTTATAGCGGCCTTGGAGACAGAGCCATCGTGGTGACTCTCCGATGAAAAGGACGCCGACCCCGAGAACGAGCGCGGGGATGGCCTGGATGGCAAACCCGAGTCTCCATTGGTTCGCGTTGCCCCATTTACCTTCTCCCACGCCTACCCATAAGGCTACGAAAAAGCCCCAGGCCACCACTGTTGGAAGATCAGCCGCCGGTCAGTATCTCCCGTAGAGGTTGGCACTCACTCATCTGGTTCACCGCAGTGATCTTTGCGCGCTCGTGCGTCTTGGCTATTTCTGCTCCAAAAACAGGAGCAACTCCGGTAATGGTCCCGACCGCGTAGCCGACGAGAAGGCGACCAATGATCACTTGAAATACCGGCTCATCAGCGTATGTTGACATCATGAGACAAGGGAACTTACACATGGCAACATGGGCAGCGCCGGCCATGAGTGCGCCTCCAAGTACGCCCCATATACACCCAAAAGCAATGGCCTTTCGCCTACCCAACCTGTCACTTGTCACACCAACTGACGCACTGCCCAACCAAGCTCCAGCTTGATACACAGACACAATGGCACCGCGAAGCGGCGCGTCGGGCTTGTCAAAGTATGTCACGAACGAACCCAACGCCAAACTCGGGGTGATGATTCCAGAGTCGCTGAAGGGAAGTCAGTCCGCATTACTTTAAGAGACCTAGATCATCAGACTCACTATCCATAAAGAAACCCCCCTATCCCCAAAAAGAGGGAGGCTAGGAAGGGCTTAGTTAACCACGCCGGTCTTGGCAACATGGCGAGCGGAGAAATCGTTACGGTTGTGTTGAAGAGATGGAGTCGATCCAACGAACGAGGTTGAGTATTGAGGCACCACGAGCATTATCATCTATTTCAATGTAACCTGCTCCCACTCTCAGAGTTGAACTGCCGGTGGGGAGCTGTGGGCTAGGGCGAGCTAGTGTGCGGAGAAGACCCTGGATTGTAGGTAATCCATTGCCGGATTCAGGCCTCGTGAGGTTATTCCCGGGCGGTTCGCTTCCGTGTCGGTGGTGCTGGGTACTCTTTTCCCCACGCTGTACCCTGTCCTTGGGATCCCGATCCATGCTCTGCACTTCCCTTGTTCTTGAAGATGAAATCATATCATCTCTGACCGAAGATGGTTTGCTCACCGCTCAAACTTGTTATGGGTCAGTTCGGTCTCCAGATGTCCGTGCCGGAGAGTGCTGCCGCCGTTGCTTTGTTTGTTTGACTTGAAAATGGGACCATCAACTGTTGAATTCGCTGACGTTTCGGGGGCCCAACAACTCGGGTTGTTTTGTTCGTCTTGTTCGTTCTTAGAAGCCATCGATCTGTGCAGCAAGCTGATATAGACTGACAGAAAAAACGTGGCACAGATAAGTTCCGTTCCTATGGTTGGTTCATGAGTCCTGCACCGTCCCCTGCATGTGTTTTCCAGATCTTGGGAAGCAAAGACAGGGGAGCACAGTCCCTGACAATCGTTCGCTTCCTGCAACTAATGTATGGTTCCTTCAGGAAAGTGGCTTGCTGCCCCCGAGATTAGAGCGCCACACTAGCTCAGTGCCGGGTGGTCCCCGCAGCTTGGTTCAGACATCCTCGGCCCGAAACCTGGGGTCGGGTACTACCCCCCACCTTGGATGATCTGTCACTCCTTGTTTATCTGATCGGGGAATGTGGCCCGGTGCTATGTTTGCTCTGGTAACTGGGTGTCGATTGTAAGAACGGATGAGGCAAGTATGGACTGTCAGAGAAGGCACAATTCCGTTGAAAAAAAGGGGAGAGATCTGAGTCCAAACCAAAATCATCTTTTGCTTTTTGCACCTTGTTATTTGCCTGCTTTATTCAGGGGTACTGGGTGAGCGTGACGAGCGAATAATCATGCTCTATACACCCAGGAGCCTATCACAAGCCATCGAGCAATGCTCCTTTCAATGAACCAACTCATATTGTCATACTAAACACAAAAGGTATTCACTGAACCAAATGCCGGGCTATGAATGCGCCTGGATCTGCCGGGTGTCCATATTCTAGAAAGTAAAAGACTCTGCTTACTCGGGAGATTTGTGCAGGCAGAAATGAGCCAAAGTGAAAGAAGTAAATTCATCTACTAGACAAAGGAAATCTTAGTAAAAAAGAGCGTAGAAATCACACCAATATATACATACTCCCAAGATCCAAATAGCACTAGAATATCTATAACAATGCCGAAGGCTGAGTCCGAGCTCTCACAAAGCCATACCGACTACCAGCCTACTTAGGCAGGTAATCATCGAATCTACCAAACATCCAAATATCACGGTACCACCTTCGCCACATAAGTCGCCTTGGAGAATTCCTCAAACTTCGAGCCATTCTTTGGAGGTTTGTTGGGATCGTGGTAAATCACATCCACCACGGCTCTATTCGTGTCGTTGTAGACTGCCCGGTGTGCTCCAGGTTTAGTCCCTGGTACATATGGAGTCAAACTCCCAGGTTCGATTGGAGTATGTGTAAGGGGCTTCGAAGCTGCCAAAGGAAGGCCAGCTTTGTCGCCGAAATATGATGGGTTTCCCCATCCCCGTGGATGTTGTGGCTGCTCAGCGGCGACCTGCGCCCTGACATCCCTAGCATAATGCCATGACTTGGAACTTGGATCGTACTTGTCAGCCACTACGCCATCGCAGTCGTACTTTATTCCAGTTAGCCTTTAGCATGAAGGGAAACTCTCCGCGATGCTGCGGACGGGGGGTTTTTACATAGGATGAGTCCGTTGGACTGCGTCTCGGTGCGCGTTGTGGTGGATTCGTCGAGTCCGACATGAAGGAGGGATGAATTATAGCCAAGGTAAGGAGGAGATCTAAACTAAAGACTCAAAGCAAGTGATGGCTTCCACAGTTTACCATGATTTATGTGCAAACGGAGACTAGAGATTGGAAATATCAACCAAGGATATGAGGACGAACGTCTCTATTTATTGTCCTTTACCTCAGTGAGGCTTTACATACAGCCTGGACACTGCAGCACATGATGACTGGGCTGGTGCCCTCAGCGCCGGTCAGATGGTCCACCAGTAAAGCTGTATGCTCAGTTGATGAGTACGTATCTGTTCCATGTAAATTTCATTCATCAGACATGATACATTGAATGAAGGCCATTGTGAACAAAGAAAGTGTTGTGGATAGCACCAGATTGCCAGTGGCTTTGTATTCAAGGGAGTATTTATGCGCAAAGCCTCACAAGGCTTGTTACAGGTAGGTGAGTTGTTGTTGGTGTGCTTGCCCTTACCACCCAGTTGCTGCTACGAGTCCCGGTCAGGCTAAGTGATGCGGGTGGTTCAAACAAAGCAAGTCTCGCCCTGACGCGGGTCAAAATCAACTCAATTCACATATAGTAGTCGGTGTGGTTGCACGGCGGTTGTTCCAAGCCCTTTGATCTGAAGATGGGACGAAAATGTGACCTGTTCTTTGTTCCAGCAGGCGGGCGGCGTCAAACCACAGGGTGGAGCCACGGCTCAATCAGCAAGTTCAATCTACTTGCCCTATACGTAGCACCATGACCTGCTGGCGAGTTAGAAGGCCTGTCAATTGGACCAGTAATAACAGCTTATGAAACGCCGTTCTTGGACGTAGTCTGTTCGGCCCCCAGCACACAGCGGCCTGGCTTTATCGGCAACTGCTGTTTCCGTCTTTCCCATGGCACCCACCATTACTTCCTCCTCATCCTCTTCCTCCTCCTTCCCCCCCCCCCCTAAATAATAACATAATAAGACAGAGAAATCTTAAGTGCCGACGAAGAATGATTGAATATGAAACAAAACAATAAAAAAAGAAATAA